CCAGACCAATTTAATTTTTTGTTTTATGGATCCACTGGTCGTACTTTTTCAAGAATGAGAAAAAAAATAATATTCATTTTCCCAGCTTAAAAAGAAAACTCCTTTAAGATTGTTTTCTGCCCCATATACACTTCATAAATTGCCAAAAATAAAATACTTTTAGTATTCAGAAGGAATATTACTTTGACTGGTGATTTTTTTTTCCCTCCTGCCTTTAGGTTTTCTGAGGACAAAAATCCATAAAACAAGAAATAAAATTGGTCTGGCCTTATTAAAATGAATAATATTTAATTAAGCTTGGTGCACAGAAATTTTAAATTATAAGAATACAATTTAAATGGTTTGAATATTTTTACAGTAAAAAAATTAATACAGGTATAATGTACATGTGATGTTTGTAATATCATTACTCTAAAATTTAAATGATCTTGTTTTATTGTCTCTGTACATAATAATCTTCAGAATAACTCTTTCCAGTCAATCTAAATTTATACAACATTTCCTCTTAAAAACCAAGATGTTTTGTTCTTCCTTTAGAGAATTTCCAAAGGTACATCTGTATAATGTAAATATACAATGTCCATTTCCCAAATACACCAGGCCCTGCAAGGTAACACGACACACACACACCCAATGCCATGTGCAAGATATATACATTGTATATATACTACACACCTATCACAGCAGCCCCACCGGTCAGCTTGACCTGCCTGCTGTTATGTACAGTGTCATTGAACTCTTGATCATGAGGCTTACCACACAGACAACCCCAAATATTTCAGAAATTCTAAGAAACATCCCGTTCTGTTTGATGGCAGCTAAATAGAGCTTTGTGAAACTTTTAACATTGTGAGAGAGTCATTAGGAGGATATTACTGATGGTGAAAAAACTACAAAAAAACACAAACCACTCGCAACATTTCATGGTTAGATTTGGCTACAGCCTTGGAAACACTTTTAGACTGCATGGTTGAAAGCATGTTATATCACCTGGAAAATACCTTTTCAAAAACAACTACATGGCAGGTAACCTGAAGTCGTTAACGAAAATTATGCTGATTACACTTATTTGTATAACCTTTATCTATCATCAACAGCAGCAGCACCATTGTTGCTGTTGTCGTCATCATCATCATCATCATCATCACCATCATCATCATCATCATCATCATCATCATCACCACCATCATCGTTGTCATCATTGTCATCATTGTCTTCATCATCATCATCATCATCACCATTATTTTCATTATCATCATTATCATCATCATTGTCATCAACATCATCATCATTGTTATAATATCATCATCATCATTAATCTGTATCAACCTTTTGTCAATTAAACCACAACAATATAAAAATAAATTGTTTTACAATTTTTCCAGGCCAATTTTCCAGACATTTGAGAAATATCATTGGTGAAGTATATTTTGTACACAAGTGTTTCAAATGAGTTTCCTTTCAAGCAAATTACACTTTGTATTTTTGTTGTTTTGCTTACTGTAGACAAGACTGCATGGGAACAAATCTTGCCTCCAGATGGCAGTGAGGTAGAGAACCTAATTGTTGCAAACATCAGCACTTTGGCATGCAACAAATGTACCTATGCCAGCATTCGACCGGTATCCGATTAACATTTTTTGGTAATAACATATGAAATTCTATGTTCTACTTTGCCATTTGAACATGACAGTGCACAGATATTGTGAGAAATACGAGAAAATATAGCACCTCTTAAATTAGCAGCTGGACTGTAAAAAAAGGATGTTGATATAAACTGGAGTGAACACTAATGTACACAAGGTTAATTGAAAACAAAACCCATCAGTTTGAATGTTTTAGAATGACTTTCCTAGGTCACAGTCACCTGTCGTTTGCACTTTAACCATCCCGATCAATAAGTAATGATTAGAAACATGACTGTAAGGCCATATACACCAAGTGAACAGGTCTCCGGCATCTTTTTCAATAGATCTTTCTGGTAATATGTGGTTTGTTTGTTTCTTTGTATGTTTGCTTGTATGTTGTATGTTTGTTTTGTACATTTGTTTGTACATCTGTTTGTATGTTTGTACATTTGTTTGTATGTTTGTACATCTGTTTGTATGTTTGTACATGTGTTTGTATGTTTGTACATTTGTTTGGCTGTTTGTTATTTTCATGCCTGTACATTTGTTTGTATGTGCCTGCACATTTGTTTGTACACTTGCACATTTGTACATTTGTTTGTCTGTTTGTACATCTGTTTGCTGTTTGTACATTTGTTTTATATGTTTGTACATTTTGTTTGTTTGTATGTTTGTGCATTTTGTCTGTTTGTACACGTTTGTTTGTATGTTTTGTTTCTTTGTCTCGCCTGTTTGTATGTTTGTTTGTATGTTTGTTTGTACATTTACATTTGTTTGTTGCCTTCATGTTTTGTATGTTTGTTTGCCTGTTTGTTTTTTCTATGTTTGTACATTTGTTTGTATGCCTGTTTGTTTGTTTGTACATTTGTTTGTATGTTTGTACATTTGTTTGTTATTTTACATTTGTTTGCCTTTGTTTGTTTGTATGTTTGTACATTTGTTTGTGCACATTTGTTTGTCTGTATGCCTGTCTGTACATTTGTTTGTTTGTATGTTTGTACATTTCTGCCTGTTTTTTGCATGTTTGTATGTTTGTTTGTATGTTTGTACATTTGTTTGTATGTTTGTACATTTTGTTTGTATGTTTGTACATTTTGTTTGTTTGTACTTGTTTGTTTGTACATTTGTTATTTTTTATGTTTGTATGTTAGTACATCTTGTTTGTATGATTGTTTGTATGTTGTATATTTGTTTGTTTGTATGTTTGTACATTTGTATGTTAGTTACATTTGTATGTTTGTTTGTTGTATATTTGTATGTTTGTATGTTTCTTTGTTTGTATGTTTGTATACCAACGTGTCATGGGTTTCCATGGTATTAAGAAATTTACGACTATGAATATGGTCGCTGATATTGTCAAGTCATATAGACATAACATAGCGTTAGACGACATACCTTTTTATCATTTAATGTCAATAAAACACTTTTGTCACTCTGAAGTTCATTGTTGTCCGTATCGGACGACAGGCAGCCATTGTGCACAAACTCTGGTGACGTCATATGTTTCCGTGGTATTCCCTACAGATCAAGTTATGGGCGCACGGCACATGTCACAATCTCACACGTTGTCAGAAATAACGAAGTTGATAAATTGTAATACAGTCAACGATTTTGTAGAATTAAAACAATAGTCACATTTTTTCAGCAAAAATTTCCAGTTCATAAAATATGTACACTTGATCAACGGGATACGTGAAACAAAAAGTGAAAAAACGACTTAAGAGATTACCCTAACAGGTTTCCATAGTTTAAAAAATAGACATGGGATTCCCTCCTTAGGTCGCGTGATTGTTTTTATTGATTACATCAGCTAGCAAATGAGCGATGTTTGGAAAACTTTGAAGTCTATAGAAAATGTTTGTAAAGATCGCACAAAAAGTGCATTAGGTTCTAGACATAAAGTTGTAACAGTTTTGTTGATGACTGTACGTACGCAAATTGATCAAAGTCTGAGCATTTTTTGCTCAGAGCCGTGACGATCAACTGATGAATGTAAACAATCGATAGATGGCGCAATTTGGTGAGTGGCTTGTGTGAAATTAAGTCATAAGAAAATACCACGGAAACGTAAGCACCACGGAATCATATGACGGCATGGTATTTGTTTGTTTGTTTGTTTTTGTTTAATGCCACAATAAGCAATTTTCCAGCTTTATCACAGCTGTCTGCAAATAATCAAGTCTGGACCAGACTATCCAATGACTGACATCAATCTACTGGGATACAATGCCACAACCTGTTAGCAAGCCTGCCCACACAATCCCTGACCACCCAATCCCTGACCACCCAATCCCTGCCCACCCAATCCAAGCCCACCCAATCCCTTTAGTTGCCTCTTTTGACAAGCACTGATTGCTGAAGACCAATTCTAACCCTGGTCTCATTTCACTGGTCCCAATGTGTCCAAACGGCTAACTTAGAGGTTTCAAGAAGAATTTGTCTAATTTTGAACTTGAGCAAGTCATTCAGCCAAGCGGATTTTCATAGGACTTGGAGTTAAAATATTGCTAAGATATGGTAAAAAATCATCTTGGTTTAATTTTAATCATTTTCATACCAATATTTCCAAGCCATTCACAACTTTGAACTTTGAAGGGTACCCTTATCAGACTCCATGTATCAAATACTATGATGTCCATTTCTATAATAATTTAAATAAATGATCACCCAAAACTTTACTCATTCCACTTGACTAATCAGTAATGTACTGAAATGATATCTCAAAATAATTATCTGACAATTTTGCTCATTCTTTAACATAACATAAAAATTCAACAAAAACAAACAAAAACCATGAAGAATAATGACAATTATTATAAATATACCACTTCTTTTATTCTATGGAGGCGACATTTCGACATAGATTCTAATGTTGTTGTCAAGCAAGTGATACATGAGTAACAAATTGAGAGAATATATACATGAGTTGTTATAACAGTAGATAGGGAATGAGTTGTTTATACAATAGATGAGGTTGATGTACAACGCTTGTATGAGAGATTGAGTAAGTTGATAGGAAGCCAGTAGGGTGACATACAAGGACTTATATGACTGATAGGGAGCCAGGTGGATGTTTATACAATGGATGGGGTTGATGTACATAGTTGAATTGAAACAGATAATGTACACAAGAAATATTAGTGATTACTTTATCAAGTGATGGTAGGCATTGGGAATGTAGTATCCTTCATCTCTGTTGAGGGCGGATCCTATATTCTTGATGTGAACTGCTTGCAAAAGTTTACTAATTTTGTAGCCTGACTGGTTCTTTTCTATGGTTTTGGTCTTGTCCCATTTGATAAATGAAATAAATAACCATTATATACATCTATTGTTTGTCATCATTTTCTTTCTAACGGGACTAGTATGCATAAAATATACATTGTATAGATATGTATAACCTTTTACTATAATACACTTTTACATAAAAGATGTTATTATTGTTTTTGAGTATGGGTCCCTTTTGACTAGGGGTTTGCGGCCCTTTTGACTTTCTTGCGGCCCTTATGACTTTCCGTTTTGTGGCCCTTTTGTCACGCTGCTCTTTTGACTAGGACCCCAAACGGGTAACCAGTGCAAATATCACAAGAGGGCTGGAGCCCAGTCTACTGGAAACAACTGAGTCAATTATTTATTGCCGATCCTCAACAAAGTTCTCTTGATGTGTTTTGAAAAGTTTTTGAAAGTGGTTTGTTTTAGTTTAAACTTCAATCCAATGCTAACGGGGTTTTTTAAAGCAGAGTTGGCCAACCAAACAAGAACACCACTGACTATGTTCATTATTTATACATCGAAATGAAACACTGACAAAGATGGGATGGACTGGGAAAGTGGCATCAATATGAGGGCTTGGTTAACTTGGTGACTGAGTCAAAACAAAACGCACAGTCCTTGCCAGTGAGTGGTGCAGATTGGCCCAAGGATGTTTGTTCCAGTAAAGCTGTGCTGTGAAATATTGGCATTCATCCTTCACTATGTTCCCTCTGTCGGTGGTAAGTCCTTCAGTTACCTTTGGACGTACAATGATATTTTGATAAGTAACATCTTTGTCGGACTGCTTAAATGCCTTTTTTAAAATAATCCATTACACGATTTAACATGTTTGGGTCTGTGGCTCATACCGATACCAAGTCACCAACACAATATATTTGTTTGAGTGGCATTCAAGAAGTTGGTGGTATAGAGGTGACAAAACTTATGGATCATCAACTTCTCTATTTTTCATTTCCACAATAGCAATGTTTCGGTATAGATTCGTTTTCAAGCAGTGAAAATGGTATAAGAATCGAAATGTCGCTATTATGAAAATAAAGAAGTTGATTATCCATAGAGTTTTGTCATCTTGATACACAATATAGTCTTGTTCTTCTTTTGAGTAATCCATAGGGTTCCAAAGTGCATTCACATCAGCATCTCCCATCAAATCAGGTCATTTATTTCGATACTATGCCTCTGACATCGCCTCGTAAAATGTAAAACTTCAAATCAGATATCCAACTTGACTATAAAGTATATTGGTGATATTAGGGGTCACTATTGAGTGGGAAACAACTACTGCGATAGTGATAGCCTGATGCAACATATCCGTGAAGATCTGGGTTAGAATGTATCTTCAGTAACCCATGCTTGTCGTAAGAGTCAACAAACGGGATCGGGTGGTCAGCCGCGCTGACTTGGTTGACACATGTCATCAGTTCCCAATTGCGTAGATCGATGCTCATGATATTGATTAGTGGATTGTCCCAGTCCAGACTCGATTACAGACCGCCACCATATAGCTGAAATATTTCTAAGTGTCGCGTAAAACTAAACTCACTCATTCACTCTGATGCAAGATACTACTGAGATTGCAATAGTTTTTTTCTCCTTGAATTGTCTCATTTGAAGTCATTTCCATTTCCAGTCTGTACCCAATCATCCTGTATATTGCGCTGCACATTTATCAATGGAAGTCAATTACTAAACTATCAATAGTCACACATATTATCCATAAATCGATAGTTTTTCATTAATACCATCAATTAATTGCTATTGGAGACTCAACAATTGCAATCCATCAATACAATGTAGTTCGATGCATCATTACAGCTCTAAGTGATATATATTGCTTCACAGTGAAAACAGATACATGCAACACGACCGTAACTCTCTTACTACTAACTAAACAGAAACATGTTGAGACCTTGTCAAACTGTGGATAAGTTTTCTGAAAGCATGATTTTTCCAAACATGTACTCCATTGAGGTAATCTATATATTAGGCTGAACTTCATATGTACTCCATTCATACACTGAACTTAATAAGGCCAGACCAATTTTATTTCTTGTTTTAAGGATCCGCCGGTTTTTCAAGAATAAGAAAAAAATATATATTAATTTTCCCTGCTCAAAAAATAAAACCCTCATGTTTTTATTGGGCAAAAATGTAAACTTACCAAAAAGATTTTTGTGGATTGTTTTTTGCCCCATATAAACTTCAGAAATTGCCAAAAATAAAATACTTTTAGTATTTAAAAGGAAAATTATTTTGACTAGTGATTTTTAAAAAAAAAATTCCTTCCTGCCTTTAGGTTTTCTGAGGAAATCCATAAACAAGAAATAAAATTGGTCTGGCCTAAAGAAATATTTGCTAAATATTGGCAGTAGTCTTAGCAGGACATACTGGTCTCATATTTTGTACATTCAGTACTGGGAGGAAGTACTTCAGACATTCAATGTCGACATTAAGTAAAATCGAAATGATTCCATGCTGGCTTGAAGTACTGTTCTGAGGTCACTTTTATTCAGCATATTGCCTTGACAACGTTGCCCTTGGACAACCTGCTGTCCAGAGCGGTAACGACACCGCTGGGCCAGAGCGAGCCGTGGATGGAAATGGAGCTCTACTCTTTCAAGATTTATCCTGTACGTTCGCCTCTTCATCCACCAGTGACCCACTGCCGTGGTGGAGGGTGGATCTGCAAAGCGTCGTTAACATTGAGGCGGTCACCATTGCTACCATAAGATCCAAAGAGCTTGGTAACTATTGATAATTCACATCCATTGCACATCTTCACTACCTTTTAATGTATATATTTAACAATATCATATATCTAATCATGAGTTAAATGTTGTATTGTTACCACGTAGTCAATATATCCCTTTAAAAAAAAGTAGGGGAACATTTTTTTTTCATTTACGATTGAAAAATTTTGGAGGTATGTCAGAGTCAATCAATGCTAATATGGTAATAATGAATGTTTTGAGAGTGCATCACCACTTGCACTTCCTCATGACCAAAGTTGTTTGTACAGTAATTGCTCTTGAACGATGATTGGTGTATGACATTACCATGCACGTGTATAGGGCCACTGTGTTGTGCGCATGCATCCCATGCATTTTATTTAGGGGTGGTGATAAAGAGAAATGGTGGTGCATTCATAAGATGTCTGTCTCTAAAAAGTTTGTTAATGTTTATACTCCGTATCTAAATTTAAAGTCCAGGTTCCCCTACTTTGTTTTAAGAGTATAATTATGAGTGTCTAGAAGCTCCATGTCGTCCTAACCTACATATTCACGTCATATCTTCCCAGTTTCTTGAATGTGACAAAATGACACTGCATGCAGATGTAAGCTTGCTGGTGATTATTAACCTTATGATAAATTTGTTGAATAGCCAAAGCATACGAAACCATGTAGGCGGATTTGCTGTCAAATCTGTCATAAGACTCACTACATGGGGTTGTACAAATGACCTTGACCTTAGATGGAATGGGGCTGCTAATAAGCTGATTGCTTCGAAAATTTTAGAGTTGGCATATTCAATAACATTTTTGTCACCCAATTTACATAATAAACATAATCTCCCATTGTAATTAACTTTATTGTATCGTCCAGCTTCAACTGCTAAATTGAAGTTACCACATCTAAATTTCGAGAGTGCAGATCTGAGATGTAAAGGAATATCAGAATTTAAATATCTTTCCACATTTAAAAATGTCTTAAATTGGGAATAATAAAAACATTTATTATAATTTTGAATTGAAGTGAGCCAACATTGTTAAAGATTATCCAAAAGTCTCTGCTTAAACAAGGATATGAAATAATCAACATTGACAACATGCTGACTGATCCATGCACAGCCAAAACCATACTTAAATAAAATATTTCTGACACAAGTTGCCCAAGTAGTGCGGCCAACATCATCTAAGGACTTGAGCATAATATAACAATGTTTTGGCAGTCTATCATAAGGCATATACAATAGGTGACACCAGTATTTAATAACTTTAGTCATATAAGTAATTTGTAGAGGAAGTCTGCCACAATCACCAAGAGCCATGTTATTACAGGTAGATTTACCAACTTTCCAGAAATATTTACAAAATTTCTATACTCTTCAATACAGTAAAGTCTTTCATACAGCCTGACAGCAAAAAATGTCATGGAAAGGAAATTAAAGGCAGAGTTTCATTGAAGTTGTCAATGCAGTAAGTCTTCTGGGAAAGGATTGGATTTTTATGTCTGGAGAATTTTAATTTGATACTCTGAAAGAACCAGGGCCCAGATTTTCGAAGCTCTTAGCTAAGATAGTCGTAGTTAATGTTAATGTATGGCACTTACGATTATCTTAGCTAAGAGAGCATCGAAAATCTGGGCCCTGGATTTTGTCATTAATGATATTTATCTTTATTTCTGGTCGGAAACTCAAAGGCTTTTCAATTTCATTTTGGAAATTTGCACCAAAACCAGTTAAGTGATCAAGTTTTGCTGGTAGTTTAAATTCTGAAATTTTCAAGACAAGAATCGGACTCCAAGGCACATACACATAATTCAGGCACACACTGAACTCGTGCCTCATAGGCGCTTCTGTCACAATGTTTAGGCTAGAACAAACGATACAGAAAATTCCGCTCGGGAATCGGTTGTGTTATCAAAACAATGCTTCACCATTAAATTTTGCACAAAACCAGTTGCCAAGTGAAACCTCTATGAAATTTTTGTGGGATGGGCACAAATATTTCTAGACTTGATGAAAACAAACTATAATCTCATTAATTCTAACAGTCGATTTTCAAAATGGCGGATGCCTACCATCGGGAACATCCGGGCCAGTCTGTGGAAAACAATGCTTCACCATTAAGGCACCGAAGCTATTTTTGTGCTTTTGTTGTGTGTACACATTATCAGGTAAAGTGATTCCTATTTTGTTTGTATAATATGAAACAATTCACTTCATCATTCGTCTGTTTAGACACCCTCCTATAAGAATGAGTTCGATTTTAAGCCACATCTGCAGTAATTCAGCCATATTGTCGTCCTCCCATAAGGAGGTCAGACCAAGAGTTATTACTGAAGACAAATTCTTTAACATTTGCAGTCAAATTTTGATGCTCAGTATCACAGTTGTTTCATTTCTTACACAAAACTTTGGTTTTAGACTGGCGTCTACACAACTTTGACATAGAAGTATTCTCAGCTGATCCAGTTTCACACCCTGGAGCAAACGGTCAGATGTGCTTTTCCTTCTTTGGGAAATTTGGGAATTCAATTACACAAACTCTCAGATGCATGTATCCTGTTGAGGGGCGATATGTCCGCATAAAGAAGAGGCAACATCTGAATGATTTGGATGGGCTGACCCTGTGTGAAGTGGCAGTCCACCCAAAGCTCTACGGTCAGTGAAAGAATGTTCAAGATGAACCTTGTTACTTGGTCAGATCTAACATTGTGGGGTAATGGAACATTGTCATATAGAGAATACTACACGAGGTGTCATTACATACGAATTATACCAAACGAGTGTGCTTCCTATGGCATCTGACCGAGCGAGGTCAGATAACATAGGAAGGTCACGAGTTTCGTATAATTCGTATAAAGTTAGACTGAGTGTGGTATTTTATTTATTACCCACGTCTTACGTGCATTAAAATGACAAAATAGCATATCTTTGGTAATATTTTGGTTTCAAACCGAAACTGGTTTCACAAAGAGGTTGCGGAAGAGTTTTGTACTGTAGTACAATATTTGCATGACGCCACACTGTAATGACGTCACTGCCTTGGTAACCGACGTCACGATGCCTGTGAGTTGTCATCGCCTCGTACAACCTCCTACAGTAAACTACTCCGTAGCACCCCGTTTCTTGGTTTGCAGTTGCTTCATTGGGCTAACATCACTGGTGGAAACATTGCGTTTATGTTTTTCGACGGATATAATGTCTCAGTTCGACTCACAATTAAACAGCGACACTGCAACATTCGCAATGTTTACATTCCCACAATGCATTTAAGTTGTAGAATGAATGAATTCGCGTGTTTGTTATGAATGAAAAAATAGTTACGTCAGAATGTGGCCTAATTGAGAGGTCATCGGTTATCCAATCAAATCGTTAGAATCTCAGGTCAAGTCATTACTACACAGGTCAACGCAATACGACACTCGTGTGACGTACAAGATCAGTATGCAACTGCCCATACGATGACCACGTGGGTAATAAAGAGTATTATGCCACCATAGCTGGAATATTGTTGAGGGTGACGTAGAGCTAACCTCGCATACTCATAGAGTGTTATGCAATTGTTTCCTAAATGCATTTCCCTTCTCTGTTTATAAAGGATCAATTCAAATATGGAAGTTCAAATATACTAGGAAAATGTTCCTATTTGATTCAGTTAGATGGCATATTAATAATCTCATAACTGATCAATTAAGATTTTGTCATTGATTAAACCAAATGTCATTCATAAGGAAATAAAATATCTTGGAATGCAGCTAGGAAAGGCATTGTTACATTTGTTAAATTAGATTTTAGAATATTAAACAAAAAACATCATTAACTGAGAACTGCTTACTTTATTGATGATTGTAAAGATCAGAACGTACATTTTCAAAAAAATATGTATCGAATATTTAATTTGACTTCATTTTCGTGCATTATTCTGAATAGGTAATAGAATAATTAACTGAACTTTAGAAGATACCGATACTGAAGATAATATGGATGGATGGTGTGTGTGGATTTTACATATTTTTATTAAATCTGGCACTGGTCACCAATGAATCACAGCTGTCTGTATGTACAAAAGAACTGTTTCTTTGACACTTTCAGAAAACAACTGCAGTTTCAGTTATAGGTCATGTGGGCATGTGATGGCTTCAACTTCCAAATCTTGGACAGCAGCAGCGGAAACGGCACCTGTAAGTTTGTGTCTGTGTCACTAGCAGACCTTTACACAAAACCTGGATGGACATATTACAAGGCACAACAGCGTTCGAAATAGCTACTGGTTCGCTAGCCAAATGCTAGTTGATTGTGAATCGGGGCAGTAATATATTGTTAAACTATCCCGACTGGCTAGCTGAAAATCTCAGATAATTTGGTCTTCATTTAATGCACATGAATATGATGAAATCAATTATTAAGGTGTTAATAGTCCGTCCGCAAAGGTTTCTTGAAAACCTTAGTTTTTGTGTTTGTTTGATTTATATTGTTTCCAAGGGGTGACAATAACTTACCATCTTCAATTACCAAACATCACACCAATTCTGACCGATGTGCATTATGATCCTGATATTTTGCAGGGCCAGTGAAGTATGATGTGGGCTAGCAACATTGTTACTTAACTGGCCCTCCTAACTAGTAACTTTTCAAAATTAATTCATACACTGAGTCAAGCTTCAGGATAACTCGATATTATTTCTGGACAAAAAGTATCTCAGGAACTTCTTCAAAGAAATTGCGTCTAATTTATTGATGACACTTATTGATCAGATGAACCTTTCATTTAATGCAAGTTACACTCACTTTAGCTTCCTGTTGATGCAATAAAAGACATTATCCCTTACAACTTGTCTGAAATCAATAATTGAATCTTCAAGGCGAACAGCTTCCAAACAGAAAACACTTGTCATATATGGAATGTAAACAATTGCTACATACATTGAAAACTGTCGTGCGCAGTTTTGTCAGTTTTTGCCGAACGGGTTTCTATCAGAAGTTGTATTATAGGTTAATATTCGTAAAGAGCACTCCAAGGGACATAACTCTATGGGGTTCACTTGAAATAATGCTTGGTCGGTAGAGGGCGCGAGAGTTAAATTAATGCAATGTTGCATTGATTCATTTGAAATTTATAATTTAATATTGTAATCTAAATACATAAACAAAAATTGGAATAAATTATATGGTAGCTTCCCTGGGGGCTGATAGTTAGTATTATTGAGAGAAAAGCATTACTGGTATATACTTTTAGAGACATGTGGTGTGATATAGTGCATTTAAGATCCAAGGTGCTATAAAATTCTCACACATTATCGTTCTGGTGTAATATAACCAACCACTGTGGTGGAGGCTGTGAAGTAGGTACAACTATTGATATTCACCATTTCAGAAATGTGTGTTTCTAATTACCTCAGTACATGTTGGCATGGTCGGACACATTAGCGAACCTGATGTGGCAGTCGTGTTACTGAACCACTGAAATACTGCCAGTGTTGTAAAATTCCATTTTCCAATTACCAATTATTTTGCTTGTAATAAAAATATCTGACAAACCTTTTTTCAATTATTTAAAGAGTAATGTAATTTCCATAACAAAAGATTTAAAATATATTTACATACTTTTTTGAATAGCTTATTGGTATCCTACCACCACACAGAGACAATGCTCTTTCTCTCATTCATATTCAAACACACACACGCACATACCAACCCTGACCATTCTTTCTCTCTCTCTCTCTCTCTCTCTCTCTCTCTCTCTCTCTCTCTCTCTCTCTCTCTCTCTGGAGGCAAAGTCTCAATCTCTCTCTCTCTCTTCTGGCCAAAGTACAATGCATTTACTTTTGAAAAGTGATGTGTAAAATATCTCTCTGTAAAATCTCTTGTTTAAAGGATCTGCTGGTCATATTTTTTTAAGAATTCGAAAATCAAGTACACAAAAAAAAATCATTTTCCCTGCTCAAAAAATAAAATCCTAATGTTCATATTGGCCAGAAATGTAAACTTACAAGAAAACTCCGTTAAGATAGTTTTTTTCCCATATACACTTCATAAATTGCCAAAAATAAAATAAACATACAGTGTCCATTTCCCAAATACACCAGACCCTGCAAGGTAACACGACACACACACACCCAATGCCATGTGCAAAATATATACATTGTATATATACTCACACCTATCACAGCAGCCCCACCGGTCAGCTTGACCTGCCTGCTGTTATGTACAGTGTTATTGAACTTTTGATCATGAAGCTTACCACACAGACAACCCCAAATATTTCAGAAATTCTAAGAAACATACCGTTCTGTTTAACAGCAGCTAAATAGAGCTTGGTGAAACTTTTAACATTAAGAGAGAGTCATTAGGAGGATATTAATGACGGTGAAAAAAATACAAAAACACTAAACCACTCGCAACATTTCATGGTTAGATTTGGCTACAGCCTTGGAAACACTTTTAGACTGCATGGTTGATAGCAATTGTTACATCACCTTGAAAATACCTCTTCAAAAACAAAGGTAATGTTGATTACGCTTATTTGTATCTGTTATCATCAGCAATATCATCATCACCATCACCACCATCATCATCATCACCATTATCATTACCAACATTGTCATTGTCATTGTCATTGCCCTCCTCCTCCTCCTCCTCATCATCATCATCATCATCGTCATCACCAATGTCATGATTTATTTTTATCATCATTTTGTCAATTAAACACCAACAATTTAAAAAATAAACTGTTTTACAATTTTTCCAGGCCAATTGTCCAGACATTTAGAGAAATACCATTGGAGAGGTATATTTTGTTTCAAATGAGTTTCCTTCAAGCAAATTACACTTTGTATTTTTGTTGTTTTGCTTACTGTAGACAAGACTGCATGGGAACAAATCTTGCCTCCAGATGGCAGTGAGGTAGAGAACCTAATTGTTGCAAACATCAGCACTTTGGCATGCAACAACTGTACCTATGCCAGCATTCGACCGGTATCCGATTAACATTTTTGGTAATAACATATGAAATTCTATGTTCTACTTTGCCATTTGAACATGACAGTGCACAGATATTGTGAGAAATACGAGAAAATATAGCACCTCTTAAAATAGCAGCTGGACTGTAAAACAAGGATGTTGATAACTGGAGTGAAAACTAATGTACACAAGGTTAATTGCAAAGAAAACCCAGCAGCTTGAACATTTTTGAATGACTTTCCTAGGTCACAGTCACCTGTCAGATGTACCTGAACCACCCCCCATCAATAAGAAATGATTAGGCACATTATCTGTGAGGCCATCTACACCAAGTGAACAGGTCTCCCGGCATCCTGTTCAATAGGCTGACGACCTTGTCCCTTTAGTTGCATCTTTTGAAAGTGAGTGAGTGAGTGAGTTCAGTTTTACGCCGCACTCTGCAATATTCCAGCTATATGGCGGCGGTCTGTAATTAATCTACTCTGGACCAGACAATCCAGTGATCAACAGCATGAGCATCGATCTACGCAACTGGGATACGATGACATGTGTCAACCAAGTCAGCGAGCCTGATCACCCGATCCCGTTAGTCGCCTCTTACGACAAGCAAAGGTTATTGAAGGCTCATTCTAACCCGGATCTTCACGGGTCTCTTATGAAAGGAACCGATTGGTGAAAAACATTTCTGACTCGGATCTTCACTGGTCCAATTGTGTCCAAATGGCTAAGTTTAGAGATTACATGAAGAGTTTGTCTAATTTTGAACTTGACTAAGCAGGGTATGAAACTCACACAAATGTCAACCAGACCACAGGGCTGGTTAGATGTAAAACTTGCCAGCCATGACCCAAACTTACCTGCCCACAAAAAATACTAATTTACTTAGTATAATTAAATTAAAACTAATGAATATATTCATATGAATGTCTAAATTTCAACCTGACCGTCGGGCAGGTGAATTGAGAATCTGGCAGTCAGTGCTGAAAATAACCCGTCCTTGGCAGTCAGGCAGGCAAGTATTTCGAACGCTGGAGTAAGTCATTGAACCAAGATCATTTACATAGAACTTTGGGATAAAAATATTGCTAACATATGGTAAAAACTTCATCTTGGTTTAATTTCATTAATTTCCATACCAATACGCCACATCTTTGAACTTTGACAAAGGGGGTCGAAAAGGTATCCTTATCCGATTCCAAGCATCAAATAATATGATATCCCTTTCTATAATAATTGAAAAAATATCGACCACCCAAAACTCATTCAACCTGACTTAGAGTATTGTACTTAAATGATATCTCAAAATAATTATCTGACAATTTTGCTCATTCTTTAACATAACATAAAAAATCAACAAAAACAAACAAAACCCAATCAACAAAATTAGCTTTAGACAGTAGATGCACTTCCTGTAGGTCGGAGACCTTCCTTCTATTTCCACACTAATAGTTTTTCCCAATAAACAATGGACTACCTACTTTAGAAAATATTTCAACACAAACACAACGTTTGTCAACAGAACACAATACCTCTAACCTAGTTTCCTGGTGTTAAACACATATTTGTCCACACCTACAAGGGGAGATAACACTGTTAGACTCTCACCACATATTCTGGCTGCAGAAAACCAAGACTAAAGTTTAGTCTCCAAAAAGAAACAAAAGATTAGTTTAAGTGACTAATTGTTTAATATTTAATAGAAACAACTGAAGAAGCAATATAGACTTGTCAAAAGTATTGCTGACTTGCTTCCAACTGTCAGATAGTTTTTTTATTTATTTGAATGATGCCTGTCACAAGAGTGAGTGAGTGAGTTGGGTTTTAGCAGTATTTCGGTTATGCAATGGTCTATCAATTGACTTGGGAAAACGAATTTATGCAAGTCTTATATAATTTAGGCAAGTTGAGGTGCTACAAATAGGGAATCAAAATCCCAGAGAATCGGGATTCAAACACATAGGATTCTGGCATGCCAAAGATACAAGGCTAAAGCATGTCGAAGGTGAAATATTCCTGATTTATGAAACAGAATTACCACTCACTCACTTTCCCCATTCAGCTAGAATACTGCTGCATGTGGTTTTAACCAACAAAAAAACAAAACTCACTCACTCACTCACTCACTCACTCACTCACTCACTCACTCACTCACCCACCCAATCACTCACTCACTCACTCACTTTCCCCATACAGCTGGAATACTGCTGCATGTGGTTTTAACCAACAAAAAACAAAACTCACTCACTCACTCACCCAACCACCAACCCACCCACCCTCTC